ATATATATATATATATATATATATATATATATATATATATATATATATATATATATAAAGTATATCGATATATATATATGGTTTTCATGTTTCAGTTTGGTGTGCTGCTATGGAGCTTGAAAACGAAGGCCGTGATGCGAGCGCAGCGGCAGAGCCAAATGCTGAGCAGTGTTGTTGCTGCTGTTTATATTTATGTATATATATATATATATATTATATATATATGTATATATATATATATATATATAGTTGCATAGTATTATTTATTGTATAGTTTATTTTTTATTTTTATATAGGTCTGTGTATATTTATATATACACATATATTATGTGTATGTATGGGTGATGTGCTTGCCTGTTGTATGAAATATCTCTCTATATGATTTTACAATAAGAAAAAAAGAAAAATTTAATTTTTTATGTTTTTTCAGTTTAGTATAAAGATATTGTTTCGGGCTTGATAGTTCTTGTGTGATTCTTTCTGTTTTTTTTTTTATTTTTTTTTTAATTTGTTTCTTGTCTCTATGCAGGCTTTTATTTGTTCTCCACCCCCTTCTGAATCTGCGGTGTATCTGCTGGTTCATGAATGCCACTTCGCTTTGCTGGAGGGGCTCGGCTACGGCGGCTTCAACTGCGGGGAAGCGGCGAGAGCGACGCTGCGTGTCAGTGATCAATCAACACAGAAAACAATATTATGTTTTTTTTTGTTTTTTTTATTTTTATTTTTATTAAAATTAATATTAGGAGTATTACTATTAGTATTACTATTCTTTTTCTGTGATAGGATACGGGTTATGCAGATATTCTGAAATCCAGAGAACAGAAACGAATGCAAGCACCGAAGCACGAGCATACAGAACAGAGATATAGATGCAAGCAGCAAACCATAAAACACACAAAACATTCACAGAATAACACAAATATACAGAGAAACATCATCAAGATATACAGGGGGACCCATAGTACATGCAGCAGAGAGCTGTGGTATGTTTATACTTTCAGGTTTCCTTGACGCCTCCCGGCCCCCGCCCCGCTGCACCCGTCTTCTCCTTTCCTCACCTCNATACTTTCAGGTTTCCTTGACGCCTCCCGGCCCCCGCCCCGCTGCACCCGTCTTCTCCTTTCCTCACCTCAAGCCCTGCCCCTCTTGCGTTCCCAAGCTGCGCATGCAGCCCCAGGGTTTGTATGATTTCCCTCCCGTAGACCTGCCTATACACCTCGCAGCCAACTGCCACCACGCCGTCGCTGCTGCGCAGCAGCATCATCAGCAAGAGCAGCAGCAGACGCATCAAAAAGGCAGCAGCAGAAGTCGTGCAGCTCAAGGATCCAGGCTTTTTTCAAGAAGAATGATGGCGGAGATATCAGGAGCTACACCGGTGAGTTGGCTCAGTATTTGGGGTTTACATATATTATAGGGTTTAGTTTCTTAGGTAGAGACTGATGCTCCTTATTTTTATTATATTATTATTATAGTAGTTCACATTGCTGTATATTTTATTAGAAATGTTAAAATATTTTTGGTCGGAGAAGAGTGCTGTTTGGGTGCTGTTCTATGCCTATAGCGAGCTGTTCTTACTATTCATGTTTTCGGTGCTGCTGTTGGTGTTTCTGCTGATCAGCTGCTGCTGCAGCTGCTGCTGCTGGTGTGTTTAGTGTTGTGTTTAGCGTAGTTTAAAGTATATATTTTATGTTATTTTTGCTGCTGTTTCTGCGAAATATCTTTCAGGTCGACTGCGCTGTGGCTTCAGTGGTAGCGGCAGTCACCGAGGCGTCTGAGTCCGTGCGGCGCGTGCGGGTGGCTCTGCGGGTCCCTGGTGCTTCTGTGCTGTATGCAGCACCATCGCCTTCTTGTGCTGCTGCTGCTGCTGCTTCTGGTGATGGAGCAGCAGGAGGAGAAGGGGGGCTTCTGTCAGGTACTACTGTGCAGGCAGTAGGAGGGAAACCTCACTACATCGAGCTCTCTGGCTTGGGCGCTTCAAGCGGGGGTAACAGCCTCCGGATGCGTCAGCTGGGNCTCACTACATCGAGCTCTCTGGCTTGGGCGCTTCAAGCGGGGGTAACAGCCTCCGGATGCGTCAGCTGGGAGTGCGGGTGGATGCAGAGTGTTGCATTCATTACACTGTAGATGGTAGTGACCCTGTGTCTTGTGAGGACCAGCATACAGTTGGAAAAGCCCTGGCAACGCAAGGGCAGCATCAACAGCAGAACGTACAGCAACAGCAACTGCAGCAGCAGCAGCAGCAGCAGCAGACTGCTCCGGTGAGCGAACTCTCGGCGCAAACCACAAATGGCACCAACTGCGGCAACAACAGCACCGCCAGTGGAGGCAGCATGAACGGCGTCGGAAGCTGCAGGAACAACAGTGATGGAGCCAACAGCAGCAGCAACAAGAACACCACCAGCAGTAGCAGTGGTAGCTGTGGATCCCCTGGTTTTTCTGCGAAAGCTGAGCAACGTGAATCTCTGAGAACAAAAGAAAACCCCTCGCCAGTGACGCCGGCTCTTACGCCGCAGCAGAAGCTGTAGTAGCAGCTTTCTTTGCGTTGGCGCTAACAGGGGAAACACTTACCCTCCATCCAACTCCTTCCAGCTCCCTACATAAAATAAATTAAATAAAACAACAGCGCCTGCGAAGGCTATCATCTTCTGCCTTTTTTAGTGCGCTTTGCTGGCAGCTCTTTTTGAAGTCTTTAATTCGATTTATCTGTTTTTCTTCTCTTGTCACTGTTAACCCCCTCTTCTGTTCTACCCATCGCTTTAGGCTTGCCTAAACAACAACGCATATGTCGCTCTCGTGTTTCTCATCTCATCACTAGCTTCGACTGCAATAGTGTGTAAGGAAGGAATTCAGCGGAAAACTACTTGAACTTCTTTATGCAACAACCCGTGCAGAGAGGCATATCATAGAGCCGTGAAAGAATACGTGCTGCCAGTATCTGGTTCTACTGAAGCATAAACCAGAATATCAAGCATCAACCAACTGCTTGACCCCTAAGTAATATCTCCCGCTGTTTCACAACACAACTCCGAAAGCAGTGTCAGGCAGTACAACGCCAAGGAACGACAAACCCTGTGGCATCGCGTCGACGCGAGGCTGCTGGCCTGGAGAGTGTGATAATCCTACAGAAGAACAGATGCTTCAGCAGAGAAACGGAGAGTGAAACCCACACGAAAGTGTAAATGTAGTACTTTGGAAATGCATGCGAAATGTCCCGTGGTAATTTGCTCGTATATACGATGGTTAGCCACTGTATATATCCAGGGAAGCAATGGCAGATACTGGAGTATTTGTTGAACTGTAGTTTGTAATTCTAGGATATTTCGCACAAAGCATCTCCAGCATGAAAACATTGTATTCGTTCCTGCAGTGAATCCTCATCGTCTCTCTAGGAGACGTAATCTGGCGCGTTTCTACCATCACTCTCACTCTCGATGGTGATCATTGGCACTATATGTTAACTACAGGGCACTTCACAGTATATGTATTCAATTAGAGTGCATACAACTGCACGCCTAGTGACAGTCCGGTAAGCTGTAGAACGAAGATGCGTGCGCGTTGCTTCTCTTGTATGCTGCACGCATCACAGCAACACTTACTTTTCGATAGAGGCAGAAGTGATGATGATGTTCAAATGAGAGGATGCAAAAAGGAGAGAGATATCTAAACGAGATGAAGCAGAGGTGATAGCGATATTTAAAGGAGATGAATGAGGCTGCCAGGAGTCGCATTTCCCCTCCGGAATTTGCTGGGGAGCAATCACATCGCCTTCTATTTGATTTTTCTTTTTCATCAGTGTTACACGGTTTTTATCGTTGGCACGGTGTACTGTGCGTGCACAAAACATTGTTGGTTCGGTTCTTCTGAAACTCTTTTCGTCGGTTAAAGACGACTATCTGAAAGCACCGCGCGCAGAATTACCAGATTCAGGAGGCAGCGACAGGCGGGGGGGGGGAGGGGGAGGGGGCGCTTGAACATGCACTGCTCTGCCG